ACTAGAACTAACACTATACCTAGAACTGGATCATTTGAGTTTAGCCGTGCGTCTGAACACGCACTGCTAAACTTTCTAGTTCTAGATCTGGTGTTAGTTCTAGTTTTAATTGTTATGCAGCGCTAGACCACGAACTAGAATCATTCGGGTTTAGCTGTCTTAAAAGACGTATGGCTAAACCCAAATGTTTCTAGTTCTATGTCTAACGTTAGTTCTAGTGATAGTGCAAGTGTAAAACTAGAACTAACACCGGCTAAAACTAGAACTAACCGGCTCAAATTAAATGCTATAATGATCTTAAAGTGGAATTGGCAGCTCGTCAGACTGCGGGTGAACAAAACCTTAAAATTTGTTATTTCAATGGCTCTCCAAGAATCGTTTCTGTACCTTTAAACTGATTTCTCCACCCACTTACAAACAGTTTTCTTTGTTTTATCAAAACGTGAATGGTCTTCGAACTAAAATGATCGATGTTTATAATTACCTTTCTGTATCTAATTATGATTTTGTTGCACTGACCGAAACCTGGTTGAGCGATGATGTAACCAATGGCGAGTTGTGTCCTGCTAATTACACTGTTTTTAAGGGGTGGGGGTGCTCTACTTGTGGTTCGTGCGAGTTGCGAGCCACTCAACTGAACTTGCGTATTATAACTGAACTTGCGTATATAATTATTGGGCGTTGCTGTTTTCTCTTCGTTGTTTATATACCGCCCTGCATCTCGATTGAAGACTTTGAGACATTTTTGGAGCGATTTCAAGCGCTGGGCTTCCTATCCAATCACCCAGTTATGGTTGTGGGTGATTTTAATGTCCCATCTTATTCGTCTTCTGACGGCAGGGATCGTTTTGGACTTGCTCTATAGAACTATGAATCGTTCTGCAACTTTAGTCAAGTTAATACAGTGCTCAACCACAACAACCGATTACTGGATCTAGTTTTTTGTAATTTCTCGTGTACTGTCATACGTGATTTTGATCCTATAGTGAACGAGGATCGTCATCATCCCGCACTTCGGGCTGCATTTTCTTGCTTGGTCTCAACACCTGATTTTGAAGCTTCCAATGATGCCCCAAGTTATAATTTTAGAAGAGCGAATTTCCCACTGCTTTATGAATTACTTTGTGCCACTGATTGGTCTGCAGTTACGAATGTGGGTGATGTTGAGCTTAGTTGTGCAGCATTTTATGATTTGATTTATAGAGCTCTTGATGTTGCTGTACCGAGGTGCAGAGTTTTTTGTGGCGGTGGAAGAAGGTACCCTACCTGGTTCACTGTGGACATAAAGGAAAACCTTCGACTTAAGGAGGGCATGCTTAAAAAATATAAACGATATGGTACTGCCCATTATCTTGAATTATTCAAACGCTTATCAGAGATTTTGTAAGCGTGCGATAACGCTTACAAAATCTCTGATAAGCGCTGCTTACAGACAGCATATGCTTGAAACTGAAAATGCAATTCGTCGTGACCCTAAAACTTTTTAGAGGTATATACAATCCAGGAGGGGCTCTTCTAGAATACCAGGTATTATGAAGTATAACAACCTGGAATACACTTCGGGCCAGTCAATTGTCGATGCTTTTGCTGAGTATTTCGGGAAAGTTTACATTGATTCGGATCCTAATAATATACCTAAACCTGGTTTAACTCTGCAGCGTATTCTTCAAATTGATGTAATCGATCTGGAAGAGGTTAACTCCGCGTTGAGACATGCAAGGAATAAGATCACTGTCGGTATCGATGGTATCGCTAGTTTTCTCTTACGTGACTGCGCTGCCATTTTTGATTCTCCTCTCCATCACATTTTCAACTTAATTCTCAAGAAATCCGTGATGCCTAAACTGTGGAAGAAAGCCTACATCTGCCCAGTTCATAAAAAAGACGATGGCAACTTCTCTAAGATATTTGAATCGATGATATACAATTATATTTACGCATATATAACGCAGTTCCAGCATGGATTTGTTAGAAATCGATCAACTGTTTCCAACTTGGCGTGCTTCACCCAGTTTGTGTCTGATACTCTGGACAATAGAGGACAGGTTGATGTAATATATTTAGACTTCCAGAAAGCGTTCGATCAACTGGACCACTTTATATTACTGCATAAATTGACAGGCATCGGATTTAGTGCGCCCTTGATTTCCCTCATGGAGTCTTATCTGCGAGATAGAGAACAATATGTTAAGTATTTCAACCACAATTTCTTCTCGAATTGTCCTACGTCGGTAGTGCCTCAGGGTTCGAACTTGGAACCCCTTCTCTTTTTAATTTTTATCAACGACATTACGGATGCTATTGGTTGTGAGAGATTGCTGTTTGCGGATGACCTTAAGATCTTCACTTCGGTCAAGTCACTGACGGACTGTGCGGTTCTCCAGCGGGGTCTGGATAGTGTTGTTGAGTGGTGCGCGAATAATCGTTTATCATTAAACGTGTCCAAGTGCGCGTCTATGTCATACACCAAATGTTCCAGAATACCTTCCCAGTACAAAATTGATAGTGAGTTTTTGCGTGTTACTGACAATTTCACTGATTTAGGAGTAGTGTTTGATGCAAAACTTGCGTTTGTAAAACACGTATCGACTCTTTGCGCAAAATGTTATCGAACATACGGTTTTATATATCGTAATTGTAAAGATTTTTCGACCGCCGGGCTACTTACCATTTTTTACGCTTTGATTCGCTCTCGCCTCGAATATGCAGCATTGATTTGGCAACCCTATTATACGAGACATATAAACGCTTTAGAACGTATATAAAGATTGTATTTAAAGTTTTTGTCGTTCCGTATTGATGGCATCTACCCAATAAGAGGTATTGATTACTGTAGTTTGCTCACCCGTTTTGATATAGTATCATTGTCAACCCGCAGAGTTGTGGTCGTGGTTAAATTTTTGTATAATTTGTTTCACAATTTAGTTGATTGCCCGCAGTTGCTTGCTAGACTTAATTTCACTGTACCTAGACTCAACGTCAGATCATCGCGGTTGTTTTATTGTGATTTCAATAGATCATTAGTATCCCAACACTCGCCAGTTTCGTTAATGTGTAGCTACTTTAATTTAATATCGGGAGATTGTGACCTTTTTTCTGATTCTTGGCTGGGTATTAGGGATCTTGTTGTTACACACTTTGGGGTGTTTTAGGTAGGTTTAGTTGTTGCGCTGCACGTTCACCTTTTGCATTTGTTGTTGTATTATATACAGTGTATTTTTATTTTATTTTATTATTCATTTTTTATTTTTTATTGTATTATTTTGTTACGAATATTAATTTTGTTTTCTTGTAATTGGGTGGAGAACCTGTTGGGAATAAAGTGTATTATTATTATAACACTAGACCTAGAACTGGAAAGTATCGGGTTTAGCTGTGCGTCTAAAGATTAAGAGTGTTAGTTCTAGCTTTACACTTAGACTGTCACTAGAACTAACATTAGACCTAGAACTAGAATCATTCGGGTTTAGCCGTCTTGAGAGATGTGCGGCTAAATCCGAATGTTTCTAGTTCTCGGTCTAGTGTTAGTTCTAGTTTTGCACTAGCGCTATCACTAAAACTAATACAAGACCTAGAACTAGAATCATTCAGATTTAGCCGTCTTGAGAAACGTGCAGCTTATACTATTTTAAGCTATGTTGCATTTTATGTGGGACAGTGCAAGTCCTTAATACTTTCATAACTATAGTTACTGCATTCATATATTGCGAGTTGTATGAAATTCCCTGTATATGTATATATAATAGTTACATTTTCTTCTAAAATAGGAAAAATATTAATTAATTTATGATAAATAATTATGGTTTTATTCGCATTATTCGTTAATTGGGAACAATTATAAGCGATGGCATAAATCACAATCATATAATTAATTCCCCAGTATTTCGTGGCGTACGAATATTCGAACGGTTTTTCCAAACCAGCCGAAATTCTAGCGATATCTAAAGAATAATCGTAAAAGCTTGATAAAAAGCAGATCGATCCTAAAAAGGTGTAAATTGCAATCGGCAATCCGTTAATTTCGTTGATTTTTCTGTACGTTTCAATTAATTTATCGTACAAAATGATCAATTCTTCCAAAATCGTTTTATGATCTTGATAAATTTTCGTTAATCGCCTGGGTATAACTCGTCTCTTTGAAAATTCGATTATCTCAATTTGATTTAGATTAGTTTTAATACACCCTGTAAGATATAGATTTATGTTTCGAATAAAATCATCGAATACTACATAGATATAAATCGTAAATATGATGTAGCACGATGATATGATTCCGGTTAAATATAAATTTATCCATATAAAAAGAGAATAATTTTTAAAATTATTTACAATGTCAATAATAAACACGTAAATATTTAATATTAAATAGATTGCGAGATAGATCATTGTTTTGAAATTTTTTGATTGCAAACTTTTGATTTGTAACAAATCTAATTGTCGTTTGAATTCTATTGATTGAATAAGAAAATTTGTTGAGGTATCCTCTTTGATTAAATGGTATACAATGATAAAAATTATAAAAGCAGACATTCCATAAACATGTGATACGAATTGTAATTGGGAAATTAAGCTGTATCTGAAAATAAGAAATTTTAATTTATTAAAATAAATTGGTTAATCTTTGTTACCTTTTTGGTCCAAAAGAATCATGAATTTTTGGTATTTCAAAAGCAGCCATTACAAAAACTAATCCATACAAAATGCATTGCGCTATCAGTAATAAACGATAATGTTTTCTGTTTAAAATATGTTTTAAATAACCTAAATAAATCTTATGTATGTTCATTTTTAACGCTTGTATGTTACTAAAGAATCTTTCTTATATCAAGAACTCTAAACTTGATTAATTGAATAATCAAAGAAATTTATTGCAATCATTTTAAAAGGCAGCATAATAAAATCGAGATATCACAAACAATTTATTATTGACGTATCATCAATTTGATTTATAAAAATCAATTGAAGTAATTTTAATCAAAAAAAAGTTAAAAGTTAAGAAAATGAACGAAGAAAATCCTCCTTTGGGCCCTAAGGCTCTCCGCCAAGATGAAGAGATGGTATCGAGGTTTAAAGTTCAAGCTGAAAAAGCCTTGGAAAAATATAAATTGGCCAAACGATTGGAAGCTCAACACAAAATGAAGCAATTGGCACTCGAACAAATGGAAACCGAGGGATATTCTGATGCAATGGGAATGTATATAATTGAATCTGGGAAATTGAAGAGAAGTTTTTCGGAAATTTCAACATTTACACCTAGCTTTGGTTTAAAAGAAGGGATAATGAGTTGGTTGAAAAAACTTTTTAAAAGTGTAATTATACTTTTTAATCTAACAACTAAAGCAACACTCTGTTTTTGTTGGATCCATTGCAGCGATCTTTTGATCTATAATATTTTCAAGATGGTTATATATATTCAAATTTTTTATGCAAAAATAGGTTGATTTTGATAAGGATTGTTGAAACTTAGAGATTTTCGTTTTCTTGTTATTTTCATTCACCATTTATCAATGTTTTCTTTTATTTATTTATACATGGGTAGCGACAGGACAAGTCTCATTACGAGCTACATCACATCTATACTATACATATGTAACTTAACAAAAGGTACTACGTTACGGCAGTATGTACAAAAACAAAATTAATCATATCTGGGTACAAAGCTTAGTATGGCGTTTCGAATAACATATCTAAAATTGTTTGGCGTGAGGGCAAGTACGTCCAACCTAAGGCGATCTACTGCTCTTTCCATCCGTACGATTGGAGTATTCTGATAAGAAATGGTTCGAGCTGTTGGTGCATAAAATAAGAAATCATATCGTAACCCACGAGGAGGAACATGCAAGATATGGGGAGTCGCAATAACTATTGACCAACCTGAACAGGAAGTGAACATCACTACAATATCTGCTGAAATGTGGGCATATGGTAGATTTGAAAGGCAGAGAAATAATCTGTATAAGGATGCCGGAAACGATAGGAAAGGTATTTCAGAAACCTAAGCTGGACTCTCTTTATTCTCTTACCATAAATGTCATAGTGAGGATTGCAACAGTGCTTCCGAACCATAAAATACTATTTACAAATGCATTAAGGTGAGTTTAGACATGCATGGATTTAGTGGCGTCAATAAAAGCTGGCGCGCCAGTAAAATTAAATTGCATGTGTAAACATCCACTGGCATGCAAGTTGAAATCATGCATGGATCGGAAAAGTCTGCACCCTTCTGAAATCACTGGCGCCAGTGATGACAAATACGTGCAGCAAAACGAAATCTGCGTGTGTAAACAAATGCTTGCACATGGGCGCGCAAGTTTTTAGATTTTCGTTTCAGTTGAGGTCCTAATTTGTGTTTATTGTAGTTTATATAGTTTATTATGGCTAAAAAAAGTGGTCGGCAGAACTGACAATCAAATTTCTTGAAGGCTATGAATCTTATCCGTGTTTATGGGATGTACACAGTAGTGCTTATTAAAACACAATCCAGAAGAGTATCAAAATTTTGCTTTGTCATTCGTAGATGATTTTTATACCTTGCAGAATCTTCTGCTGCGAGTTCTCGTAGAAGTTTTCCAGAAACACCTAAAGTAGGTCGACGACTAATCCATGGTTTAACACAGACACAACCTTTTTGTCGTTTCTTTTTCTGTATTTCTTTTGTCGTTTTTTCCACTAAAAGTTTTGCGACTATTTTGCATGCTTCGGAAAGTTCACTCGATATAAGCTAAATTTCCACATGCACGGATTACTGGCGGCAGTACGAAGCCAGTTTAGTAGCGCCAATTAGCTGGCGCCAGAAGTTGTTTCCACATAAATGTTATAATTGTATACTGGCACAGTAATAAGAATGGCGTCAAGTGATGTACTTCGTGTTGGCATCAATGTGGTAGTCCAAATGTGCTCCTTGGAACTGCACACGTTATTAACAAAAAAAAGCGAAAACGTAGTTGCTGGTTAGATCGTGGATTGCACGTAGAAATAACTTAGGTGCGTCTAGTACTTTAATGAGAGAATTATGCCATGAAGATCAGGAAGCATTTTTTAATCATTTAAGAATGACTGAAAAGAGTTTCATGTTTTTGTTGAGGCAAGTATCCTCTAAAATACAAAAACAACATACGCATGTGAGAGATGCCATTCCAGCATACGTAAAGTATCCTTCGTTTCTCTTATTTCCACAACTGAGTGTAGAAACTGATTAGCTACAGAATATCATGGTACTGTGAGTTGATACACATCATCAGCTGATGCTCCACTTCTGCATGAATTTAAAACTTTATGGTATTCAATTGTATACTTCGTATTTTTGCTTTTGCCGAGGTTTCGTCAAAATTAGGAACTGTTTTCTTCATAATTTCAACTAACCTTCTGATAGCTTCATTTCATGCCAGTCGGTCCTTATATTGTGGAATTTTCTAATTCCACAAACAAGGATATTGTTCATACGTTTTTAGAAATTGTACTGTTTGTTCTGATGTCCATTTTTTGGACGGTTTATTAGCGGATTTGTTCATTTTAGTTGGACGAACACGTTAATAGTTACGCGTTTTCTTTATAAATACTGTTACTGGCGCCAAAAAGTTGAAGTAGCGTCAACTTTATTGGCGCTATGATTACTGGCATCAATTTATTGGCGTCAGGGTTTTTTTGCTATTTCCACATGCAAATGAACTGGCGCCAGTAATCCGTGCATGTGGAAACTTAGTCTTTAAAAGAATCGACGTGATGCAGTACACCAGACATGTGGTGTATCAAAAAATTTTAAGGTCATCAGCAAACATGAGATATCTGGAGTTGGGAAAAGATTTAGCTATTTAGATTATAAATAAAAGCGGTCCCAAATGAATGCCTTGAGGTACCCCAGATGCCATAACAATATGGTCAGACGAGTGCCCACCAATTATGACTACCTGAGTCCGTATTAAACCATATTTATCAGCCACTGTGCAAACAATAAAGTTGAAAATTTGTGTAATTACGCTTGAAATGGAACGTAGTTAGTTGTATTAGTCAAAAATTGACGTAGATATGGCTTCGGCCGCAAGGGACAACTCCACCTGATAAAGTCGAGGCCACTCACAGCCGAGTGTTTCAGTATGGTTACCAGTTTTAGGTTGATATAATTTTAATCACTGAGCCTCAGCCGCAGTCGATCTTGATTTGATGAAGTCAAAAGTTTTGCAACTTCACTTGATAAAGCCGAGGTGGCTTGCTGCCGGGGTGCCACAATATGATAACCAATTTCTGCTTGATATAATGTTAATCATCGAGCCTCAGTCGCAAGTGGCTGAGAACCTCGGCTGAGTTGAATATCTACAACTTTAGTTGATAAAGCCGAAGCCACTTGCGGTCGTATCGCCATATTATGATGACTAGTTTCAGGTTGATACAGTATTAATCACTAAGCCGCGGCTGAAAGCGACTTCGGCTTAAGCAGATAAAATCATACATTTTCCATTGTAATTAAAGCCGAGGCGCAGCAAAATGTTAATCAATTTCAGGTTGACATAGTATTAATCACTGAGCCATAATCGCTTTTCGCACCATAGATTCCATCGTTTCCCGTTACGACAATACTCATTTCACAATTCCTTGGAGTTCATTTCCGCCACATCCTCTCTCCATGTTTTGTTAGCCCTTCTGCGCTTCGATTTGTTGTATGGCACTAATTCCATGATTCTTTCAGGCATCTATCTGTCGGTAATCTCTTCGCATGTCCATTTCAATTAAGTTTCTTTACCTCGATAGTCTCTAATGTATTTATGTCAACTCCAACTTCTTGCTTGATGTCAACATTCCTCGGTTTATCTCTCTTTGCTCTTTTTGCAGTGCTGTCGCTAGTACTCCAATTCCATTGCATTTATCTTCGACTTCTTTCTTCTCTTCATTTCTCATAATTCTATATTTTATTTCTTTTATGTATTTTCTTACTGCAGAGAACGTTCTTCAGCTTCTTTATTACTACCTTAACTTGACCCATTCTACTAATTACACTGGTCTAAAGTGGTTTTGTTTTCGACTACCAACACAAAACTTTTCCAATCTTTACTTTCTGGAACAGTCATAACTTTAATAAAAATTGCGTCTTTCATCAATTGGGGTATTTGATCACCATCAAATATTCCACCTTTCAACTTTTCCATACTAACCTTTGGAAATTTTCTACAACTGTAATTTATTTATTTATTTACTTTCCAAGGGAGTAAAAACAGGACAGACCCAAAGACATTGCTCCACAGAGTTGATACGTACAATATAATATATACTATACAATATATGCTATATACCATATACAAAATTAAGCAGCATCTACATCGAAGAAAAAGAAATTAAGAAAAGGAAAAAAAAACAACTAAACAGTATGCGACGCAGTGAATTATAGATAAAATAAAAAGTAAACCATAACGGAGTTGACGGGGAGGAACATGTAAATCGACACGAGACAGAAGGTAAGGAGAATTCCAGAGTCCGTTGAGTAACCTATATAAGAACATGGCATCCGCAAGTAGTCTCCGCTGACGGAGGGTGAGTAAACGATACTTTCCACATGCAGTGTTGTAGTCTTCATAAACATGATGCGATTTATAAAAGAGAAACTTTAAGAATTTCATCTGAATCCTCTCGAGTCTGTCGATATAACAAGAATACTGGGCATCCCAGACACAACTACCAAAGTTCAAGATGCTATTAACAAAAACATTATAAATACTGATGATCGCATACGGATTTGTAAAATCCTCACAAGAACGCATTACAAAACCAAGCGTCTTATATGCTTTGTTCACCACTCCATCAACATGAAGACCAAAAGATAGCTTTTGATCAAGGATGATACCAAGATCTCGAACAGATGAGTTCCTATTTAGGACGTTATTGCCAAGTGTATAGTTATAAGAGATATGATTCTGTTTTTTAGTAAACGTTATAGTTACACACTTAGAGAAATTTAAAACAAGACAGTTATCAGAACAGAATTTGCATAGATCGTCAAGGTCACTCTGCAATTTGGCGCAATCGTTTACATTATAAATAGGGAGAAACAATTTAAGATCGTCAGCATACATGAGACAGCGGCAATGGGAAAAGGAGCCAAAGATGTCGTTAATGTAAAGAAGGAATAACAGAGGTCCTAGGTGGCTGCCCTGAGGTACACCAGAAGAGATTTGACAAGGCACGTGAACAAAATCCACCAAACTGCACGACAAGAGTCCGTCCCGAGACGTAAGAGGTAAACCAGTCCAGCAAATACCCAGTAATACCAGCGCGATACAACTTACCGCATAACAAATTATGATCTACCTTGTCAAACGCTTTGCTAAAGTCCGTGTATACCGCGTCTACTTGGATGTTGTTGTTCGCGGAAGAGTACAGAAAGTCAACGTACTCGAGCATGTTCGTCTCGACCGAGCGGCTAGGATAAAAACCGTGTTGATTGACATTAATAGTATTTTACAACTGAAAAAATAGTCTCGAGTATATCAACCTTTCAAATACCTTTCCAAATAAGGGCAAAATAGAAATTGGACGGTAGTTGCTGGCCAGGTGTTGGTCACCAGATTTGTAGACTGGTACAATATTGGCGCGTTTCCATGCCAAGGGAAACACTCCAGTAGTGATGGACAAATTAAAAATTTTCATAAGTGAAATGGAAAGAGCAGCAACACAGTTAATAATAAGGATTGAAGGAATACCATCTGATCCAGGACCCTTGCTGGGTGCCATCCCCCTAAGCTCAAACTCAACCTCAGCCCCGGTAAGGGCCCCAATGATAACCCCCGTGTTAGTACTATGGTCGGAGATGCGAGGTACACTCACCGTAGGCCCAGATGGAGTAAATACGGATGCAAAATAATCAGCGAATAAAGACGGGTGGACACACCGCGGTCCCCCCTGCGCCGTTTTATATAAGACCAAACCCGCTTAGGATCTGACTCAACAGAACACTGGGGAAGACAGAACACGCGGTCAATATAGCGCTTATAATCTAAGTCAATTAAGAATTTAGAACAACCCCGCAACAACGAGAGTGATAGATAGACCAGTCGATTTACAAAGCGCCTCCATTTTTTATGAATACGATTCTTTTGACATATTATGCGAATCGTAGAAGAAGAAAACCAAGGTGGAAATTTATTATCATGGGATCGTTTGAGTGGGACGAACTTACTAGTACAGCAGCATTTACGTCATTGCAATTCAATATTATGTCCCAATTTATGTCATTGAGTTAAGCCGAAATATCGGAAAACGAGGCCTTGTTGTAATTGAGGGCAGGGGAATGCGTTCTACCAAGTTATCACCTTGAAGAATGTCAAAGGACAACTCAATAGTGGTGTGAGCATTATCCTCAACGATTAAAGAGGGAGATACGATTTGAAAATCAGTTACCGTGATAAATCTAGTGAATATAAGGTCTAAAGTATTTCCATAGGCGTTTAAAAAATGATTAAGTTGATAGAGTTCACAAAGGGCAACAGCGCCCAGGAAATCGGCTCGTAATTAAAACAATTTGCATTCCCAGGTACTATAGGATGTCACGTTTTTAATAGAGGCAAATCTTTTGCCACTCCACCCATCACCAGTATTGTCCCATACTGTGTGTATCAGCTTTCTAAGAAACACACGGTCATATATGTTTTTTCCAGATCTACAAGCACAAGGTGGGTCTTCATATTGTATGCTATTCTGTTTGGTTTATTTAAGTGTGAAGATCAGTCGATGTATGACCTACCAGCCCTGAAGCTGCATAGATGTTTTCCCTCTTCGTTTTTAATTTGCTATTTANTTTGGTTTATTTAAGTGTGAAGATCAGTCGATGTACGACCTACTAGCCCTGAAGCCGCATAGATATTCTTCCTCTTCGTTTTTAATTCGCTGTTTAATGATTCTACCATAATCTCTAGTGATCGTGCTAGTGACACTTATCCCTCGGTAGTTTTTTTTATAAATATTACTAACATATGCAGTAGTCAATTCTTTTGGTATGTCATTAAATATGTAACTCATCTAGTTGTTCAGGTACCTCCTTTAGTAGTAATTTAGTAGGTTTGTTATCGCGCTTTTTATTTACGCTTTTACTCCTCTTCCGCACATACATCAATTTCTGTAAATTCCACAATGCTGAAATTCATAAATGCCAGGTTATAATGCACCCAGTCATTCATTGTGCTCGCCTTTATTCTAATTATTTCTTTGTCTTTCGTCTTTAAATTTTTAATGATTTTGCATGCTTCCCTATCCAGTTTCCCCCTTCTAGTTGATCTCATATAATTATCTATTCGTCTACAAATTTCATGCCTGCCAACCATTCTTTTTTCTTTCCTGTTTAGCTGCATGTTGTTCTCTCCGTTTTGTGCTTCCAATGGATCAAAAGTAACGACCATTTTGAAAATATTTAACATCGAAAGAGCGGGATAAACAAAATTTCAGAAACGTAGGTGTAATAGAACCAAAAACAGAGGAGTTGCCAACGTTTTGGCGAACACTGTATATTATTCTTTCTTTTAGATGTACATTGAAAAACCGTTTGAATTAAAATGGAGCCAATTTTTATGCATCACATTATGCTTACAAATTTCTTTCACCTATACATTAAAACATATGTGGTTAGTTTACGAATGGGGAGCGAGTAAATTAATATAATTAACCAACTAAAATTTTTAATAACTCTTTTTTAAAACAGTTTTAGTATTATTAGTTTACATAATTTTTGGTGCTTTCATCGCAATGCCCGTTTATATGATTTTATTGTTTATGGGCCACTACAGTAGGCGATCTTACATGAGATTTTGGGATTGCGTTCCATTACTAAAAGGTTTAAATCGACTCATTAAAGAAAATTATCATTAAAAATTTATAATTAATTTAGGTGTTGCTTACTCAATTGCGTTATCATCGATCATAACCGAACTTTTTTCAATGACATTCGCCGCTATTAGTTTAAATTATGTACTCGAAGCGATATTGGCCCCAATAACTCCGTGGCACGATTGCAAATTTCAACATGCAAGTCGAGATTGTAAATCGAAATCAAAAATAAAACCTTACAACGAAAATTGCTGTATAAAAGGAACGGCGGATTGTACACATTTAAAATGGAACGCGACCGTTTATAAATACGAAGCTTACGATTACTTTAAAAAATATCAGTTGCGCAATAACTATTCAGGTTTCAATACGACGTTGTTGCCGATGAGAACTATTGTGACTGTTGGGTTATTATGGATAGCCACTCTTATAATGATGTTGTGTGGATTAAGAAGAATTAGGGGATTTATGACTGTTATTAGTATAATTCTATTGATTACTATCTTTATACCTTGGGTTTTGGTTACTTTATATACATCTGATTATAGTATGTTTGCGGAGTTAAAACCAGATTGGATGGATCTTTTTAATTATGAGGTAAATTTAAATTGCTTTAAATTGATATTAAAAGATAAACATTTTTATCATAGTTTTGGATTGAAGTTTGTGTTCATTCACTACACAGAGAATTAGCTGGTGATGTTTTAACATTTAGCTCAGTTTCTACGCCGGGAATAAGTCCTACTGTTGATACGATTATTATTTATGCTGCAAAATTTGTGTTTTTGGTTTTTATAACAGTGTGGTTATCGATTAGTGTTTCTATAATCCGGGAGAAATATCTCATTATGAATTCAATATGTTTGGATCTTAATAGTAAATATTAAACTTTTTTAACTTAAGTAATGCTAAGAATTAATTGTGCAGATCAAAAGAAGCAAAAAGTCATAATAATGATAATAGATTTGATTTTATAGTAGTGTGTAAGTAGGTGTAACTTATTACATAAGCAATAAGTTGTGGTTGTGTTGATAACATAAAGGTAGTTGAATAAACGTAGTTGCAGAAGAAGCACAAAAATTGTCCAGCATTTGGCTGAATGTGTAAATTGTGGAAAAGTGAATTATTTTGCAACGGTATGCAAGAAAGAAAAGGCGAATGGACAAGACGAGGAATCCAAACGCGATGACAATGAGGTACATGGAATAGAAGCAATAGAAAAATGAGAAATCAAAACATAAAAGGAGTCGTGTTAAAGCAGAAATGTATTCATTTTGTACACAAATCTAAGCCTCAATGTACATATACACGATTTGCGAATCCATAGTCTTTATCCATTTCAATCTTTGGTCATTTATGAAAGTCTTATGTTTTTCACATTGATATACAAGGTATATCAAGTATACAATTTCAACTGGATATACGATATATCTATAGCTAGGAACTAATATCCTGAATTTCCAGGTTTGTGAGGATCCTGACACAATGTACTTTTTTTTGCAATTCTTCAAAGTTCGTAATTACACATGACTTTCAATATTGCTGTGTTTAAATCTTGAAGTATTAATACATAATTTCAAGCTTCCATTTCTTTTTTTTACTAAATACTATCCAGCCTAAGCCTCTAGCGAGGCTTAGTACCCAACCCGTGGTACATCTCTCTCGGATGGTAGCACCCTGTAAAAATGACTTGGTCCTCTCAGACCAAGGTAATAAAGCAGCCAGCGAAAAATCTCAATAATCAGTCCCAGAACTTTGATTGGTTTTAGTATTTTAAAACTATAACTGTATCGGCATAAGAAAACGATTCTTCGAGCATGAAACATTTAAGGACTTAGAGATGTCGAGAAAATTATGAAACCGGGAAAAATCGATATGGCTGCTGTTATGGAAACGAAGAAGAGTAAATTGGCATCAAATATGTAGGAGAATTTATCCATATTTATAGTGGAATCCCTAAAATCAATAGAGCAAGTAAAGGAGGAAACAAAACTAAAAAACAAATTGGGAGTTAATCTGAGGGGGGCACAGGACAACGGTTATTGATATTTTTTGCTCGTTTATTATTGATAGTTTTATGAACAACTTAACGATTTACTTATAAAAGCTGGTGATCAACGACAATACATGCTTATGAGCTATTTTAATGCCCGTCTAGGAGGAAGACTAAATAATAGGCTGGCTGGACTAATTTGTGAATCATTTTAAATGGTTTTGTAAACACAAAGATATCAACAATAAGTTAGCCCAAGGTAGATAAACATAAGGTATGCTCATACGGTGAACGAATTGGCTCTCGCACTTTCATAACCGTGTCATAGCCATTGTAAACAAACCGACACTTACAATAGTAGACAATAGTTGTTGCTAAGCTATGACGCTGTGATGACGTACGAGAGCCAATTCGTTCGCCGTATGAGCATACCTTATGTTTATCTACCTTGAGTTAGCCAACAAACTAGAGTCTTACAATCTATATCGATTTTGTTATTGTAAAACAAAATACCATCTGGAGAGTCCAAGACATATGAGTATACAAAGGACCAGATTGTGGATCGGGCCGCTATTTTATAAAAAGGTGAACCAGATCATTAGAGCACTAAGATAACTGTGTGTCAAATACATAGGTGAAATATTGCATTCGGCAGCTCGAGAAGCGTTATGTGTTCGGCAGATTATTTACACCAAATATAATAGCTAAACACGAAGGATGGAAATGATAAAATAACATACGGATTGGAGTAAGCCTGGTTTTATTCGAATTATTCGAAGCTGTAGGAAATAGCATGATGCATGGAAGGAGCAAGATCATCAGAATCATAGAGATTAATTAAAATTACGAAACTGAAAGCTCCTACAAGGTAAATTTAAATCCAATTAAATTGCGACAGCACTATGCAAAGGAGCTCAATGAAAATAGACAACAATACTTGACACAATCACCAGCTAACCATTATTTCCTCTTTCTTTCTATAGCTCTACAGTCCCAATCGAGCATTGGCCTCCCTCAACCTTTATCCTTAATTTTCACTGTCTCTGCCCTCTCTCTTCCAGTTTCTGCCCCGATCATTTTCATCTCCTCTCATCCTCGATTTCAATCCTTGCATCCTTCTACTGATTACTCACTTAGGCATTCTCTTTTCTCCCATTGTAATCATTTGACCAGCCCATCTTAACCAATTATCTTAACCATAATACTATTTTCTTGCACTGGTTCTATTGTTCTCCTTATATCTTTCTTTCAAAATATTTACAATTTTTGCTGATTTTTAAGTCAAAATTAATGACTCACAACTGTGTTTTAGTGTCTCGGTGTACATAGGAGACAATTTGAAATATATTCTATTGACCAGAATAGAACTCTTTCTGACTTCTCCTTTCTCTGCACCTAGTCTTGGTAATTCCACTTCAAGGCATAGAAACAAGTTGCACCGCTTTTGTATTATCCGTTTCCACATCCATTTTCCTTATTACATATTCCAGAGCTAGGTTAAAGAGGGTGGGTGCCAATCTCGCTGTTTTGGCTGTGAGATCTAAATGAGATTTGTTAGTTGGCCTTGTATACGTGCGCATGTTTCAGTATCAGTTTTGCTGGGATGTCAAGCTATTCCGTTCAGTATACGTAATAGTAGTTTACGTTTAATTTATAAAAAAGGAAACAAAAAACAGCAACCAATCGAGATGTCCATCTCCTGTTTGTAGACCATACTAGAGTAGCATAACAACACAGCAATAAGTGCAATTAAAAAATTATATGGTCTTCCATATTCCAGAATTAAATTGAAGAACGTTGTGTTACCAACTTTTCCAGTGTTCCAAATTTATCTAAACGAAGTACTGAAAAGATGGAGATTATGCCAAGGAATTATTTTGCTTTTGACCAAATAGTTATTGCACCGGATAAGGAGGAAACTTTTTGACGAATATTAGGGTCTTACAGTCTTATAAATATGGTATTATTATAGAATAGTGTGATATAATACAGTATTGTATTCTATTCCACGGTCTTCAAAAGTATCGTCTTAAAAGGAAGTAAAGCTTGGCAGTTAACAAAGAACCTTGAACAAAAACTATTAGCACTTAAGATGGGTTATTGGCGAAGATCAGCTAAGAAACGAAAGAATAAGGGAAAATAATGAATAATAGCGAATAATAGAGGACACTCAGTAAAACTAGGTAATTAGTTACGAACACATTGAGAGAATACCATAACGGAGAATTCTAAAACTTGCTTTCTAGTGGATTAGGTTGGGAAATACCAAAGATTATCTGGATAAGCGGAATTTAGGGAACGTCAGAGAGGATTCTAAGACCAGTAGACTAGGAGGATAAAAGAGGCTAGAAGCTGGGAAATGGAAGGCGTCGGACACTGTAACCTCGGATATCAGACCCACTCTATTGGTTTCTCTATTAGTTCAATGATTGTATCTTCAACCAATCTGTCCAACTTTTTTTTTCAATTAATCTTTTATGCTGATTGGAATTTTTCTAATTATGTTTTTTTATAGCTACTATTTTGTTACTGAAGAGATCATCACAAGATTTACAGATGCGTTTAATCCTAAAATATTATGTTTTTGACTTACAAGTTTGACTAAATCCTGGACAATTTTGCCTTTCTGGGCAAAATCTCAAACATCGTCCTCATTTGAATCACTTCTCTTTTCTATTTTGCCTTCTATACCATATATTTTATTTGTCAAGGTTTTAACCTATTTATTAACCCCGCTGGTCTGTTCACACCTACTATACACTTGTATCGTTCGGGTCAATATGACCCGAAACATAAAAAAGGAAACAAATGTACTTGTTTATTTAACGCAAATAACATTCTTTAAAACTTAGAAATTACGGATAATAATGAAATATTGTTATAAAAAGCTATTTTTATGTTTTACAATTTCGACAAAAGTATATACAGTGAGTTTTACAAAGATGTTTATGACAATTATTACACACTATATTTGTTTTATTGTCTTTAGTTGAAGGACAAAATTTACAACGGCTGCGTTTTAGAGTAGTTGTTTGTGGCACATTTATAACGGAACAAGATGCACTTCCATTGTTTTGATTTCTTTGCACAATATTTCGCGATTCCTCTGTTCTTGGCATATGTTCTGCTTCTTATGTGGTTTTGTATTGGAGATTTTCCTAATTCTTCTTTTAGTTACCTTGTTCGCGTTCCAATTTGGATCTATACTCCTCCATAGAACTAAGGCATTATAAGCTGAGATGTCAAGCATATTATAGAATACTATCATAGGCCAGCGATTTGTTTTACGCTTACAGGTGTATGTGGTTAACAGCTGATCTAGAGTATCAATAGCTCCTTTTGTAGCGTTATAGTCTAATATTATTTGCGTTTTTTTGTCATTCCTGGTACTAATTTGTTTGTCGTGGTGTAAGGTAGACATCAGAACTACGTTCTTGTTTTTTTTTTAAGGAATATAGTTGACTACGGTAGTTTCATTCGTAACATAAAAGGAAGAACTATATACTTCTTTATTTACCATGGACTTAGGCTTGTTTTTTCTTATAATACCCAACATCGTAATTTTCTTTCAGAAGGCACTGCCCCAGATTATAAGACGTAAAGAAATTATCGCAAGTTAGATTGTGACTTCTGAGTTCGCTACTAAGATCGCATATAACCCGCATGCCTTGATTTTTTTCAGGAGCACCTGGTACTTTTCCTGTATATATTTGTAATTTTAATTCCATATTTTGCCGATTTGCTGGGAATGTACTGTTTGAAAGGGCAGCGCCCTCTAAATGCTACTAACTGTTCGTCAATAGTAACATTTACTCCAACATTATACAATTTTGGAAAAGCATCCACCCAGTTTTCCCTGATTTCTCGAAATTTTCTCGGCTTCTCTCTTGCCTTGTATTTCTGTCATCAAACCGAATTATACGAGATATCATGGAAAATGTTTGCAATGACATAGTTGCTCTAAATATATCTTTACCAGTTTCTTTATCCCACAAGCTTTTCGTAGATTCTCCATATGACCGATAAACCCCAACAAGTAACAACAATACTGTCTACATTTTTCCAATTCTCACCGTAAATCCTTCGTCCTTCGAGATTTGTCATTTCAATTATTGTATTTTCTACAGCATTATGAAATGTAACTTGAAATGACGACTTGATGTCACCAATGCGGCTACTGGCATATCTTTTAATTCCTGGTGTTTGGTGTATTACATTGGCAGTAGAAAAGCGACCACGTTGCTGCGGTTGTTTCGACTTCCATCTATTCTTCCATCTTTTGAAGAACACAATTTTTTTTTTTTTTTGAAGAACACTTTTGATTGCACATTTGTAGTAGTATGCATAGTATCGACTTAACCATCAGAGCTGTCACTTTCAGATGCTTTACTTGTATGATCTTCATATTCGGAAATATCTTCATTACTGTCAAATGCGTCAATGTACGCTTGTAACTCTTTGTCAGTCAACGGTCTGCGACGTGCCATGTTGAATGTAAAGTCGTATACTGAATCATAATTGCATCGATGCTTTGTTTTATAGTCTCAACATCGTTAGCAAGCACAGACTTGTCAACGCATGCGTGTACTGAACGCTTATGAAAGTATTCATATAGATATAGGCTATAAGAATCTATGGTCGCAGATACAAGTACAGACTTGTTACTGTACTCTAACATATACATATATGTATATCTAAAGTTTTTACTATATTTTTGCTTCAAACAATAAATTTTAGTTGAAAATGTTCGGGTCATATTGCCCCGAACGGTATAAGTGTGACATTTGAAAGTATACTAAAAAAAATACATAACATTCAAAAATGTAATATGAAATAACAGAGCCCTAATATTGACAAATAAAGTCACCAGTGCCCAAACAGAAAAACAATTAAACAGAAACACAATTTAGGATTACATTTTCTTTCGGGTCAAATAGACCCGAGCAGTATAGCAGGGTTAATACATAAAACATTGTGACGTGTTATGTCTCTTGAGTTGATTTCTGAATTTTCCAGAAAAAATGACTTATTAATGTACCAATTGGCCAAATCATTGGACTTTTTAATTGATCAACCAAATGAAATGGAACGCCCACCTTAAAGGAGCTCTATATGTCGGGTCTCTTCGACTTCATTAAGTCACATTTGACGTCCTTAAATCCTTTCTCATTTAGGTATCGAGTAATATCTACCGAAGTGTCCTTGTTTAATTTTGAAATATATAAATAAGAGTACTTGATTATAGCTTTCAAATTTGATGTTTCACCAGAATAGACTTATACATAGTATAATTTTTTTTTGTGTTTTTACCCCTTTTCCGTACCACTGTTTGAAAATTACCGTCTTCTTTCTTCTCGTCCTGTATGGGATCAGCTATTGTAGGTGTTGGATTCGTTTGTAAGGATCGCTTTATTGCATCTGCATATGTATTACGAGATAGCGTAGAATTTACATTTTTCGGGCCTTTCTCAATATTAGTTATTATTTTATCTGTTTTTTTTTGACTCGGTTGTTTTTTCTTTTCCAAATCCGGTTGTTTTTCTTTTTAAGTTCATTCCTCCCTTCAACATTTCTATTTTTTTAGATAAGTTGTTGGATTTGTCTTCATCCTTATTTAACTTCTTGTTGACATTTCTACCATCTGTTACCGTACTACTTAAACAGGATTCCATTAGCTTTTTATGTTTGCTGATTTCTGCATTAAAGTGCAATTTTCTGTTCGTAGTTTTTGTATTTCAGTTTTTAGAACATTAATTACTTCATCAGTAATCTGATTAATTGCCTGTTTCACTTTAGCAGTAACAATTGACTCTAAGTTTGTAACACTGCCAGTTTCTAATTTCTCCATTCATTCTCATCGACATCAAGTCATTTTCTTTCACATTCACACACTTTTGAATGATACATTTGAATCATATATCACTCCACATGACTTTTCACAAACGATGTTGTCTTCATAACGAAAGATTTTCTTAAAGCATTTACCGCACGACATGGCGCACGATGTTATTCGTGCGCTATGATCGATTGGAGCAAGTCTGGTTTAAATGAATAGTGATTCAAAATAAAAATGAAACATGGGGAAAGAAGTTGTAGGAAATAGCATGATGCATGGAAGGAGCAAGATCATCAGAATTATAGAGATTAATTAAAATTACGAACTGAAAGCTCATACAAGGTAAATTTAAATCCAAGTAATATGCAAATATCTATGCCAATGAAAATAGACAACAATACTTGACACAATCACCAGCTAACTATTACTCTCTCTTTTTTTGCTATGGCGCACTAGCCCTATCATCAAGCCTTGGCCTTTGTCTCCAATTTTCGACAAACATTTTCCCTGTCTCTGGCTTCTCTCTTTCAGTTTCTACACAAGGTCATCTCCTAGAGTCTCGGTCGACTGCATCCTCCCATCTCATCCTCGCTTTCAATCCTTACATCTTTCTACAGATTACTCGCTTAGACATTCTCTCTTCTCCCATTGTAATCATATGACCAGCCGATCTTAAACACTGGACTGTGATGATCTCCAATGATGACAGGGTTCTTATAAACACGATACAATTCATGATTGTATCTTGATCTCCATATACTATTTTTTTTGCACTGGTCTTATTGCTCTCCTTATATCTTTCTTTCCAAAATATTTACAATTTTTGCTGACACTGAGTCAACGTTCTTGATTCACTACAGTAACTTACAATCGGTCTAGTAATTGTTTTGTATAACCGTATTTTAGTGTCTCAATGTACATTTTTGGATCTAAATATAGGAGTCAATGTGAAATATGCTCTATTGGTCAGAATCAAAATTCTAACTTCTCCTTCCTCTGCACCCAGTCTTGATAATTCCATCCCAAGGTATGCAAAAAGTGACACAGCTTCTATGTCCATCTTCTACATCAATTTTCGTGATGTTTTCGTGATGACATCTTCTACGTGAGGTATAAATAAGATTTTTTAGTTGGAATATCAAAGTAATATGGGATATCAAGCTAACTATTACGTTCAGTTTACGTAATAGTCGTTCACGTTCAATTTATAGAAGAGGAAATAGACGACAGCAACCAATCGAGATGTCCATTTCCTGTTTGTAGACCATACGATAAGAAAACTGAGACTGATCACTAATCAACAACACAGTAAAGGTTGTTAATTGTCTCTAACGCTCTTTAAAATTTATCTAAACGAAGTACTGAAAAGATGGAGATCATGCCAAAGAATGGGAATACAGCTCATAGATGACATAATACTGATGACCAAATAGTTATTTCACAGGATAAGGAGGATCTGGAATTTATGCCGAGGAAACTATTCGACGAATATGAAAACTGAGCGCTTACAGTAAATTTTAAGAAGATTATATGGTGTTATAATACAATAGTGTAATATAATACAGTGTTGTATTCTATTCCATGGTCTTCAAAAACATTGTCTTATATTGAAGAAACAAAGAACCTTGAACAAAAAGTATTAGCATAGTTTGAGATGGATTATTGGCGAAGATCAGCTAAGAAACGAAAGAATAAGGGAAAGTCATGAACAATAGAGAATAATAGAGGTCACTCAATAAAACTAGCTAATCAGGTACGAACACATTGGGAGCATACGATAACGGAGAATTCTCAAACTTGCTTTCTAGTGGATTGGGTTAGGAAATATCAAAGATTATCTAGATAAGTGGAATTCAGAGAGGATCCTAAGACCAGTAGACTAGGAGGAGAGAAGAGGCTAGAAGCTGGGAACTGGAAGGCGTCGGACCGGATATCAGACCCACTTTATTGGTTTCTCTATTAGTTCAATGATTGTATCTTCAACCAATCTGTCCAACTTTTTTTTTCAATTAATCTTTTATGCTGATTGGAATTTTTCTAATTATGTTTTTTTATAGCTACTATTTTGTTACTGAAGAGATCATCACAAGATTTACAGATGCGTTTAATCCTAAAATATTATGTTTTTGACTTACAAGTTTGACTAAATCCTGGACAATTTTGCCTTTCTGGGCAAAATCTCAAACATCGTCCTCATTTGAATCACTTCTCTTTTCTATTTTGCCTTCTATACCATATATTTTATTTGTCAAGGTTTTAGCCTATTTATTAAATGATTTTAAAATAATAGCTACATTTAAGTCGCAACATAAGTAAATTATCAAATTACATTATAATGACTTAAAGTTAAAAAGAGAATATTTTTTGCTTCTTTTCCCCTGCAAATTTTTCCTTGTTTAACACAAATCTTTTATTTTAGGTATCCCAATATTTTTCGGTTTATTCCCCGAACTTTTATCAACACTATCCATAGCAAAATTAGCCATTATGATTTATTTCTTTGTGATATTTTTTTGGTGTTTCGCCGGAAGCCTTTACACATTAAATTCGTTCGTTTGGTCGCTTTTGGAGGAGTACCCAAAATTGGCCAAATTAAAAATTTTAATCTGTTCCGTTTTCTGCGTGGGTTGTTTCCTCCTAAACTTATTAATCCTTCGCACTAATTTAGAAAGCATTTACGAAACTTGGATCCACAATACTTGCATCGTCGTCAAAGTAGCTTTACTATTCTTCACACTTCTCGGAATATTTTTATATTCACTAAATAGAATCGCAAACGATTACCATTTTACTTACGGACAAAAACTTCACCCACTTTGGTTACACGGAATTAAAGTCGCGATGCTTTCGATAATGGTCATAGTCATTTTAAGATTAACTTTTGCCCCTATAAAAAAGAGATTGGTGGATATCGTCGTGATTTTAAGCGTTACTTTACCTACCATAATCGGTGCAATTATTGTTGTTGTTAAATATAAAACTGGTGTAAGTACTTTAATTTGCAATTTTTCTTCCAAAATGATTTAATAAATATTATTTTAAGGGTGCTTCGAGTGTTATCGCGCCCGATCCTTCATGGGGACCCACCAGTTTTAAAAAGAAAGTTGCTCGGAGTCGTTTTGACGCTAAAAGAGAACTTCGTTATCGATCTGCCATTCAAAAATGCAAACACGCTTGTTTATTGAATTCATCAACGTTAGCAGCTGAAATTAAATATTGGAATAATAAAAGAAAACTAGCTTATGAGTTCGATTCGTGAAATTTATTGTTATCAATTTAATACATTACATTATAATAAATGTTGAGTTAATTAAAGATGAGTTTTTGGCGCTTTCTGATGACTTTCTTGAAAATGAAGATAATTCAAATTGAATCAGGATTATAACATAAGTTGTTACAGATGCGATAATCTTAAATAATTAATTATTAAATAACGGTATAGATATTGATGGATTTGATCAATACTCTTTGTAATAACGTCCAATCTAAAGCGAAAAGGCCGTAAGCTGTGAATTTTAATTTGTTGTTGTATAATTGAAGCGAAATTAATTGGAGGTGTTTAGCTTGATCGTTAATTTCATTTCTACTCGCAAAATTATTCCAGATATCATGTATATAAGTTACTGTTTTAGCACACTACAAAAAGATTAATATTAACCCATTTGTATCATTTAGAAGTGAATGACAAAGTGGCCCATATCACCAAACCTTTTTTATGATATACAAGTGAATGAATTATAAGTATAATAGATTTACGGACGATCAGAGAAAAAATAGACATCGTTGTTCTACTAATAGACAAAGGGAAACAGAATAACAAAGAAATTTGTTTGTACAGGCCAACAAACACTAGATTTTACAAGTAAAACAAAAAAATATGTCAGAGATTCTACGCATTTTGTAGATTTAATCAAAATTATGAAGTTAAATCCTCAGGATATCCTGCTAAATTTCGATGTGGAACCTCCATTTTCTAGATTACCAGACAAAGATACCATTTATGGTCTTCGCCAGAAACTCATTCCGGAGGGGGTTTACGAAGTATATTCCATGGCTAGTGGAGTACTGTTTATCATCAACATATTTTGGCTAAAAGGTAGAATTTTAGGAGCAATGCAGCAGTCATGGGATCACTTTTATCAACGGTAATTGCTAAATTCTACATGGAGATGTTTGAAAATGAAGGGTTAAGAAACAGTCCGTGGAAACTAAGGTTATTGTTTCGTTACATAGATAACACCTTTGTGATCTGGCGGCAGCATGGGAAAGAGCGTTTCTGGAGGAAATGAGTTAATAGACCACCTGAACTCGCAACACCTATGGTCAAATCTACCATGGAAATGGAAGCTGCTAAACAGTTACCTTTCATGGATGTTTTGGGTACTAGGAAGACAAAAATAGAAATATTCGGGTGTATCCATCTTGAGAGACTCACGGTTAAACCCGAATATTTCTAGTTCTAGATTTAGTGGTAGTTCTAGTGCAAATATAAGTTTTAGTTCTTATTCAGTGCGAGGTTGTTGTATATTTTTATTTAACGAAAACTAGAACGAGGAAGAGAGGAAAATGCATTTACGCACGCCGGCTTACTGTTAGCACCTAGGGACGTACTGATGGTGTCTACCGCTGTCGGCAGCTTGGATTCTGGATTCGCGTTAAGGTAGGCTGCACCGCACTTTGACCTCAGCAGATCCCTTGTACTTACTTCCCTCTTTCGGTCAGCATTAGGGTCCTTCCAGCCATATCACCTTGGAGGCAAAGGCTAGAATTTGTCCAAGTTGTGCTGCCCTGATTCCACTCATGAGAATCTGGATATCTTCAAAAATGGATAATCTTAATGTTTGGAGGGCCACGCAGTCGCATAGAATGTGTTCCGCCGATTCCTTCTCCTCACCGCATCCTCTGCAGATGTCGGTGTCACTTATTCCCATGTTCAGTAAGTGCTTCTGTAGATGCCAGTGTCCAGTGATTAGACTAATGACCAAACATAGGTTCTTCCTGGACAACCTCATAAATAAATCTGTTCGTTTAGGGTCAGGGTACATCAGAGCCTCCTTGGCTTGGCGACATCCTGGTGTCCTGTCCCAGTAAGTTAGAAACTTCTTACGTATTTCTCTTTTTGAAGCTCTATTAAAGACCTTATTGTTGGGGCGATGAATGGTTCTGGCGACCCCGGAGGTTCTCCTGCAGCTTTCCTTGCCAGTTTGTCCACCATGTTATGAAGCTTATTTCCTGAATGACCCTTTGTCTAGCAGATCGTAATCTCATTGCGAGCGGCTGTCTCACAAAGATTGTTATGGCAGTCCTGAAGCAACGAGGATGAACAGCGATACCGCCCGAGCGAGAGGAGGGCTTGTCTGCAATCAAAATATATTATAATTTTATTGTTACTAATTTTCTTGGAAATTTCCTCAGCGGCCAGAGAAATGGCTACCAGGTCCGCTTAATAAACCGAAGCACCACAGCCAGTTTCCCTACGAGACCCGTCCACCCATAATTGGAGGACAGTTTCGTCAGGCATAGATTGTTCTCCTACCTTTATTTCATACGGTCGAACATAAAACGCGTTGGAATCGTATCTACCCTGCCATTCAGGAGCGGCAGTTTGCTACATGCCTCCTCTCATAGCTGGCTAGTCGATTTTCCACATTTATAAAGCCATTTATCGTTAGCCGCTCGCAGCCGGATCATTATTGCTGTCACCACCTCCTCAACGTGATAATTGAGAGGAGGAAGGCACAGTACATTCTCCATTGCTGCTGTTGGTGTGGTTATCATCGAGCCAGTAACGTACAGACAAGCCAGACGTTGCAATTTTTGTAGTTGCAAAACAATCGTTTTATTTCTGGACGTATCATTGCAGTGTATATCCACAGGGATATTTTGGGTGTTAAACCCCAGGAGGTCCCAACGGCCCTTCTGCACTGAGCGAACGCAATGCGTGCCATTTATCTTACCTTCGAAGTGCGGTCTCCAAGTCAGCGTTTTATCCAGGGTTAACCCCAGATACTTCACTTCATTGGCAAAGCGCAAGGGAACTTTGCAAAGTCAGGGCGCTCTAAAGGTACCCAGCCTTCTTTTCCTTGTGAAGAGGACCATCTCTGTTTTTTCCGGTTTACCGACAGAGAATTGTCTCGACACTAGCATTCGATTATTCTCAGTCCAGCCTGCATTCGGTCAGATAGGACGGCAGCCTGGGACTATCAGTTTGCTATCCAGAAACACATAGACTTGTCGGATGTTATACATCCAGCATCATCTCTCCTTCAAATTCCGACACCATTATCCATCCATCTGTTGAGTAGGTAGGTATTTCCGACCCAGCAGGTATCGTGCCTCATTTAGGTTGGTTTAAAATCAGATAGAAATAAAAAAATAACATTCTTAATTCATTATGAGAACACCTTACAGAAGGCGGAGGGGGTTCTTGCACCCATAGGGGTATCTTCTTCCAGCTTTCTGTTGAGTAAGCAAGTATTATTGACCCAACAGGTATCCTCTCTCCTTCGGTTAAGTTTGAAATCCCATAAAAATAAAAAAGATTAACGTTTTAATTCATTATAAAAAGTCTGCATTTACAGGGAGGCGGAAAAAGCTGTTGGACCCGTAGAGGTACCCTCCGGTGTCTTGTAGCTACATTTTAAACTACCTGCCAAGTGAATCCATTTCTTTTTTCTTCTGGCCCAGTATATGGGTCACAAAAGCACTTATTTTTGACCAGTACCTCTCCTCAGAAATCATACGCCCCACTTTAGTTTTCGGTATTATCGATCCAACGTCAACGTAGTTTTAGAAGTAGCAATTACCTGTCAAAAGTTGCCTGGTGTTATAAAAGTTGATACCTTCATCAGTAGTTTGCGCCTGCTCTGAGTTGGCTTCCTACATTTGCCATTATGTGGCTAAGCATGGTAATGATCTTTCCCCCTTTAGCGCAAACCGTGTTTATGTGATTTCGAAACGTACATTTGCTGTCCAGAGACAATCCGAGATACTTGACCACCGCCGCTGGTAATTGCGGTTTTCATGATATTATAGGTGATTTCCAACGGTATTAGTGAGTGACAGAATCTCCGTTTTATCTGCCGCCAAGGACAGCCCACGGTCCAGCATCAGGATGACAATTACCATGTTAATCCTTATTTGTGCTTCATTGATGTGTCCCGTGCCTGGATCATCAGCATGGCCCACCAGAAATGTCCTGCCAAGCATTTTCATACGAAGAACTAGAAAACGTTCCATATTTTTGACCTAAGAACACCTAGAACCCTCAGATGTGCAGGGAGTCAGCATCCTATTCATAAAATACTTGATGATCATCCGCCGTAAGTATTTGGGTACAAGAACATTTTCCATTGAGCGGAGATATCGTCCTAGCTCGCGTTTCTTCTAAATTCGGCGATTCATTGAAAACATAAGCCCATAAATCAGACAGGTTTTTTTTCTTTGAAAGTCATTTGAAGCTCTCCATTGGTAACTAAGTCAATAAAATCTTCCTTGACCTCCATATTCATATAATCTTTGATAATAGACGGATTGCGAATCCATGCCTTACTTCTGTTAGGAAGTGGAAAATATTCTCTGAAGGTGCTTCTTAGATTTGGCAAATGACACATGATTTCTTCAGACATGTTTAAAAATGTCGACAAGTTTGAAATGATTTCACATTTCCGCTTTTGAGTCGATTCTCCCATAATTTCAATTTCAAAATAGTTGCTTCAATCTTGTCTTCTACCTGGAAACAATTTACATTTGCACCTTGTAATTTTACATTCAAATCATTGAGATGAGTAAAGATGTCGGTACGCCAGTTTGATAAGAAATGTAGAATTATTTCAATTTTCTGGGGAAATTTTATTGGGAACGTTGTTCTTCCATTAAGAATACATTGACTTCTTTATGTAATTCCCAAAGTCGACCCAGTGCTTTTCCCTTCGAAAGCCATCTTACATTTGTTGTATGCATTAGAAGTGCGTAGTGATCGCTTTCCATTTCTTTGCATAATTGTGAAAAAAGTCGCGTATTCAGCGCTCTATCTTTTAATAAAATTTATTATTCTGATACACTCATGTAAGACCGCATTTAATTCTGCCGGAATTCTTCTTGTAACCGACGCTTCTCGATGTATAGCACAATAGTACCACTCTGCAGATGAAGATACTTGCTTTATTCTCGCCTTCAGACCTGTTATTCTTCCGGACATAGCTTTGACACCGTCTGTGCTTACACCAACACATTTCGCCCAATCGATTTTATTTTTAT